TCAACTATAAGCAAAATAGGTTTGATAATACCTGCTTCACACAGCTTCTGGGAGGTTTAAATGAGCTCAGAGGTAGAAAGTAGTTAGCACAGTCCCTAGCACATAGTAAATGCTTAGGAAACAGTGACAATAGTAGCTCTTTCTAGTTGCCTAACAAGGGAAGCCACCTCCTTTTACAATACTCACGGTTCCAAGTTTGACTGGGGTGTGACACGCTATAAACTTGCTCCTCGAGGTATTGCAGTGGACCCAATAGATGAAATATATTTAAAGTAATGAACCTGTTCATTATCTTTCCAATTTTAATGGGCCGATGAACCAGGATCTACACTAATCATGGAAATGAAGTGATAAAGGCAGTGCTACTAAGCTCAGAGTTTTGGTAGGGCAACTCTTCCCAGAGATACCTCCACTGGGTTTCCTTTTCCCCGTTTGCTTTTCTACTTCTGTGCATGAAGCCGGAGCTATGTGTATTTTTGTTCCCAGTGTTCTCATATGTTGATTTTTTTCACCTACTAAAATGTAGTGAGCTTAAGAAAAGTTCAATTAAAATGAAACATAAATATTTTCTTTCTTACTGTGTCATTAAAAACTCTCTCCCCCACTCCCTGTAGTTACTTGGCACCCACCCAAAAGAAACATTTTTCCCTCTTGGCCCCCAGTGTTTAAAGCATAGAGGAAACAGATCTGCTTAGTCTGTCTCGACAGGATCCTTACATGGGAAGAGGAGCAGAGGTTTCCAAGGACTGGAAAACAGAGTACAAAGTAAGGAAAGCAAGGGAAGAAGAAAACGATGGGGAACGCAAGCAGAAAGAGGGAGAGGAGGAGATGTCCATTGTAGGCTTTCCCATGAAATCGGTTTCTGGGAGATGGCATCTTACCTTGGATTTCTGCATCAAAGAGATAAAACTCACTGTTGACCTTCCTCCAGGAGAGATTCCAACTCAGCATTATTCCCGGCCATCTTCTGATGGATTCTACCACTATCCAATGTAGCTGGTACTTAAGGTTCACGCTATTGGGTGATAAGTCATCTTCGCCAGCCACAGAGGCACTAATATTTATTGAGCAGTTACTATGTGCTGTGAAGTTAACAAGGATTGGTTTCTTTAATCCCTAAAGAAAAATCCGAGGGAGATACGATTATAACCCCAGTGCTAAAGATGGTGAGTCTGAGGTTTTGGGAGGGTAGCAGAGGCTAGATTCAAATCCCAGCAGCTGGACCCCAGAGCCTTGCACCCGTATCATATTGTAGAGCACACTCCGTATTTTCAGACACCATTCCAGAGCTCCTCCCACCGTAACTCTTCTCTTTCTTCTCCCTCCTCCTTTTGCCTTCCCCTCTTTCCATGAATGCTCTGCCATGCATCAGGTTCTATTTTGTAAGTGGTGGATCATCCAATTCTATTTCGTCTCACAGAGCTAAGGTATTCCTACCAGGCATCCTTTCCTAGTTACTAATCCAGTGAAATCACAGTCTCCACAGCAAATTCAAATAAAGGGAACTGCTCCATCTAGAGTTTCATTTTGCAAGTAAGTTGCTATTTATTTCATGTAGTGCCTTCCTCCCAACCTCTCTTCCCCTCCTCCCCAGAAGCCTTTGCCTTATCCAAACATTAGGCTTTCTATTCCAGGTTGGGCCCAAAATAAACTGATCTATGGTGGCGTGCACAGCCGGTGGCTTCCTGTAGATATCTGGAGGGCAGTGCATTTCTTTTCATCCTCTTTTCTAAACAAATATATCTCTATTTCCATCTTTCTTCCTAGGGAACAGCTCTTTTCTTCTTCCCATACTCTGAACTCTCCTTTCTCCCCTCACTCCGCCCCCTTTCTTTTGTCCATTTAGCTTCTTCAATTTCTGTTTTGCCCACTTTAAAGCAATACAGTCAGTCCTGAGGTCAGATTGAGCTATCGTTTAATGCTGGACTCGTTTGCATTGGCCCATCCTTACATTCACGTAGAAAAGTTTCATCCAGAAAAGTGACACAAAGGCATCTGAAATCCAGGTAGAGTTTTCTTCTGATCTTCATCTATCGATACATTTATAGAGAGGACATAGAATTTTTTGCTCTCAATACCCAATTCCAGATAAGATTGACCTTGACCAGCAAAAGCAGTGGTTGCTAAAACCCTTAAAAGTGGTGGAGCAAAAAAAAAAAAAAAAAAAAAAGCTCCCAGTGCATACTGGCTTTGTGTGGTTACATATGATCATACTATCTTTCCTTATGAGCACATTGCATTTGCTAGCGGTGGGATTTCGAGTAGCTAATCTCTGTGTACCTAAATTCCCTCATCTATGAAATGAGAGTAATCAGAATCGCTACCTCATAGTGTTGTTGTGAGGAATTAATTATAAATGTATCTTAAAACTTTACCTAACATTGGAAGTTTAAGTTGTTACCTATTATAATTCAGTTAAGATGCTAGACCTCCTCTTTCTAATTTTAGTAGTAGCACTTTGCCCTCCTGACTGCCTTCCTTCCATCCTTCATAATGAAAATAGTTATTTGGTACCTATTATGTGCTAGGCTCAGGAACACAATGGTAAGCAAAAAGAGACCCAAGTCCCTACCTTCATGGATCTTACAGACTAATGGGAAGACAGGCAGACATGAAACAGTCCTACAAGATCGTGTAAATGCCCTGTGATACATTCCATGAAGGGTTCAGGAGCTTGTTGAGGGGGCCAAGGGAGCTTAGAACATGGGGATCTGGTCCAACCAGGGAGGACAGTGTCTTCCTCAAGCATCCATCAGGAGCTGATAAGGGTTAAGTGCTAAAAGGTATATGGGAAACAATGTGGCAAGACAGGGAGGCAGGAGTGTTCCAGGCAGGGAGATCTGGGTGATGAGAGCAGAGCCAGTGAGGAGGGAGGAAGGTGATGCAACAAGGAGAGCAAAGGCAGCGGGAGGAGCAGATTAGGAGCACAGAGCTCTCTGGGCCAAATTGGGGATATAGTACACATTGAGTTAAGTCTTTGGAGCAATGGGGAGTCAGAGGGGAAAAATTTAATTTTTATTTCTTTTTTAAATTCCAGTATGATTAACATACAATGTTATATTAGTTTCAGGTATACAATATAGTGAGTCAGCAATTCTCTGCCTTAGTGCGCATCATGAGAAGTGTACTCTTAATCCCCTTCCCCTATTTCACCCATCCCCCTCCCCACCACCTCCCACCTCACTTCTGGCAACCATCCAGTTGTAGCCAGAGAAAATTTTTAAGGTGGGTTTTATGTGTATGTGTGGGGTATTCTGTCTTTAGTGGTAGTATTCGAGTTTCTAAAAGATTACTGTGAATGAATTATTGTGAATTAATACTGTGAATTAATGTGACAAATGGCCTGGTGGGGGGGCAGTGACTAAGCAATAGAAGGCTATCACAGTCATTTACAACAGAGATGACATCAGCGTGGTGGCCAGCGCTGGGGGTAGCCAAGGTGGGAGATTTGCATGGATGTGAGGGCATTTCACAGATAAAATCCCAAAATATTTAGAGACGGATGAGGTTGGGGTTGGAGCAGAGAGAGCTGGGTGCCGTGGATGACTTCATGAATTCTGATGAGACTGAACATTTTCCCTTTTTTTCCCTCCAGTGCCCAAGAGGTATAGGGCAGGACAGCCTGTGGCGTCTTTTACAGAGTAACAACAGTCAGCAGGCCTGAGACATTTGGGAAAAGTCTGCTTAGGCGTGCTGATTAGCCAAAATAAAAGAGGAAGTTGACCTTCAACCCTTGTCTTTGTTTTGTTCCAGCTGCAGAAATCATTTTCGGTTGCTCTCTGACTGGAGTAAACAACACTCCTTGTCACCTTATCCCTTTGACGGTCTGTTCCACTTCTGTATTTTCACTGGGACATGACTCTCACTGACAGTAGAAAGTTCAGCACCCAGACCTGCGGCTGTGAAAATACTTGCTCCTCTCCAGAACTATTAGTGCTTGTGGGAAACACGTCACAGTGCCAACCACTCACTGGTCCTGAAGTGACCTTGTTATTTTGGGACATAGTAAAGGAAATGATATTTTAAAAACCCAAGTGGCACTCTCTCCGGGTATTGAAAGGTGTAAGAGATAAAAACGGTCACCATACTTGAAGAACGGGCGCTGGAGGCTCCCCAGACTGACTCTATATTGTGTCAGCACAATATATCTGAGCTCCGTGAAACAACCCAGGACCAAAGTGCTCTCTTCAGTTGAATAATTAGACAGCAGCGGTGGTCAGTTTGGGAACGCTAATGATCTTCTGTCCCTGCTTTAGAATTTTTATTATGAGGCCAACACCATCCTTAGGCAGAATTCAGAGCAGAGGAGAAAGACTGCTAGATTTTGAACTGCGGTGAGGATAGCCCAGGTTTTATTCCTGTTCTTATCGAGGCACACCCACAGTGCTCATCACGTGGTGGGTACTCAGTGCACGTTGGTTGGATAAAGGATTCACCTGTGCTTTCGTGGGTATTTATATGGTATGGTGAGTTCATAATTTTTTGCCCCACTAGGTAGAGATGGTTGCTTCCAGTCCTCCATATTTATTTCGAACACTATTTCGCGACAAGGGTGTTCTAATGTGAAACAATAAGGAAATCAGCTGTCTGGGTGCAGATATGTTATGTTCTCCCTGGAAAATGCTTTAGCAATCTAAATTGCACTAGAATGAGGTTATTGATGTGGGAGGAAGGGAAAGTAAGATAAAACTCAGAGCTAATTTCCAGACAGGATTGCTACTTTCAGAACGAATTTCAAAGGCTTCTTGTGCACCTGACACGGGTGCTGAAGATTTCCCTATGATTTGTGATTTGAAATGACCTGCCACGTGGTCCTGGGGTCCCCTGTCCTTTGAAGCAGTTGTCTGTTCTCCCGGTTTCTGTTCCCTCCTTTCCCACCATCAGCACCCTGGGCAGGGCCCCATTCCTTCTGGTCTGCGGTGTTGGAATCATCCCTTTACTTCAGTCCTTTTTTAAAACTATGATTTGACTTCTCCTTGTTGCCCCTTACTCTATCACAGGTTCTCAGACTGTGCTTCCCAGACCAGCAGCATTAGCATCACCTGGGAACTTTTTAGAAATGAAAATGCTGGGGCCTCACCCTGGACCTACTCAAAAAGAAACTTCGACGTGGGGACCCACAATTTGGTTTTGACAAGGAGGTCAGCTCAAATGTGAGAACCACTGCTGCTGTGGTATGTAAAGCTCAGTTCTGAGCCTGTCACCTCTTTGTTACTTTTCTTGGTGTCCTTGCCAACAGCCATATAAGCATGTATATCTATGTCCATCTATTCTAGGCCTTCTCCAACAGCACCAGCTGGTTCCCTAGCCGAGCAGGTACGACGTTCTACATGTAACCCAAATGGATTACTTGCTCTTCCCTCTGTCTCTCCCCGATAATGGTGGTTCTGCTAGGAATGCTCCTTCTCCTCCCTCCTTATAGAAACCTTACTCATTCTTTTTTTTTTCTTCAAGCTTTTATTTAAATTCTAGTTAACATACAGTGTAATATTAGTTTGAGGTGTACAACAGAATGATTTAACACTTCCATGCAACACCCAGTGCCCATCACTATAAGTCCCCTCCACAACCCATGCCCCATTTAACCCATCCCCTTGCCCACCTTCCCTAAAAATATTACCTACTACCTTCTTGCCATGGTAGATAAGATTTTAGGTAGATCAGATTTAGTAGACATCCCATTTTCCTTTTCCCTCTTCTCAGTATATCCTCAATTAATCTTGATTTCATGCCAGGGCCATCCCCTTTCAGGGAATGTTTTCAGATGTTGCTTCTCCTCTGCTCCCACAGAGTGCTGTGCCTCCCTTGGTGCATGTCCCCACCTCCTCTGTAACAGTGTTTGTATGCGTGTGTCTCCCATCCCAAATAGAGTGTGAGAGTTGGGGAAATCTAACCTTTTACTTTGACTCTGTGTCCTCCCACAGCCAAGGACAAGGCTGGGGATATACTACACAGTGAGTAAGTGTGGCCAATTTAACAATAAAGCAAAGTATTTGCCTGAACATTGAAGTTTGTACAGTGACAGCAGAATTAGGAATGAGTATTTCCTTTCCAATGTGGTTTTCTCACATTGTGGAGAAAATTAAACCAGAACCAGGAGACTTAGGCCAGACCAAGCTTCTTGGTGACTTCTTGGTGACGTGGGTAAGGCAGTTAATGGTTTTGTTTCCATTTTCATAATATTTATGGGCAGAGTTACAGTGAGGACCAAATGCAACAGCACATGTTATCAAAATAAGATATTACATTGATTCCTTACATATAAAACAAGGCAACCCGTTTTCTGGCTGCACATAGAACTATTAAGAACATTAAAGAAAACCTTTAAATAGAAAACTTCATTATTATCGGGGTGGGGGGTGTCTTCCAAGATCAGCCTAAGATTATTTTTAGGGAAATTGAAATCTTTTGGTCTGAAATTTAAAGCACGAAAACTCAAACTTTAGAACCATTTCGCTATTCTTACTTGTTGATGAGAAATCAGCATTACTGCCTATTTTTCAGCCTTTGGAGGGATTTTTCAAGCTTTATCTTGACTTGATGGTTGAAAAAAAAGTCAACCAAAGGTACATTTTCTAAGCCCTTGTCCGGCCCTACCCATTAGAAAAGTGTGAGCTTGGGGCACCTGGGTGGCTCAGTGGGTTAAAGCCTCTGCCTTCGGCTCGGGTCGTGATCCCAGGGTCCTGGGATCGAGCCCCGCGTCGGGCTTTCTGCTCAGTGGGAAGCCTGCTTCCTCCTCTCTCTCTCTGCCTGCCTCTCTGCCTACTTGTGATCTGTCTGTCAAATAAATAAAAATCTTTAAAAAAAAAAAAAAGTGTGAGCTACTGTTCTATCAAAACTAATTAAACCTTAAATGTATAACCAACTCTCAATTACCAAGGTTAATGGGACTACATGCATACATAATTATATGCTACATTTATACAGTGCTTTTAACTTCTTCAAAGCACATTTCACTGTATTGCATATATAAAACAGATGGATTTTTTTTGAAATCCACAAATGAGGTAAAACAAGAAATCTTCGAATCAATAATTTCAACTTTCTGTGTTTCCAAAGCTATTAGAACTAGTGAAATTGTCTAACAGGGTTTTTTTCATTGCCCTATTCTCTCCTTGACCCATCTCATCTAGAGGTAAGAAATGACAGAAAGATCTGGAGGAATCTCTAGAGGAGAGGAAGTCAAGGACTCAGGCCATCTGCAAACTAGATCATTAGCTCCAGGGTAATTAAAAATAATTGAGTGTATGTGTGATTATATCCAGAAAGTCCAGAAAAGAGATGAAAAGGTGTAGGAAATGATGTGTGAGTAACAGTATTTATGGGGCTCTTGTTATTGTCATTCACTCAACAAGCATTATTAAGCACCTACTGTATGCCAGGTCCTTTCAACAAAGGGAATGGATACAGCCATGAACAACCCAGGCAGGGCTGCTGTTGTCATGGAGATTACCTTCTTGAGTGGTGAAGACAGACAATAAACAGGAACATAAATACACAAACAAGCTAACTTTAGGTAGTTCTAAGCACTGCAAAGCCCATAAACACAGGAATGCGGTATTGAGTGTCTTGGGGAGGGGATGCTATTTTAGATAGGGTAGGCAGGGTAGGCCTGCCTGCTGAGAAGTATATAATTGAGCTGCAGCCTGCCACAAGGAGCCCACCCTGGGTCAGTCTGCCAACCAGAATGATGGGATGAGTGAACTCATCAAGTGTGCCAGAGGGAGGGAGACCGGGCCTGTCCCAGGTCTCTGCTTATTTATTCTGTGTCCTTTTGTGGATATTACTAAAAGCTCTCCAGGACCCCTGATTCATTGCCTCTACAACAGGGCTTGCTAATACTGATCACCTTGACAGGGGTGCTCTGAGGAATAATGGGTAAACAATTGTGAGGAGCTATATAAATGCTAAATAATGATCACAGTAATAACCTTTTATTAAAGTTAGCACCGTGATAGGCAGCTCACACTCGGATGCCTTGGCAAATGTGGAAATTGATACGGCGGCTCCCTGCGCACACCAACACTCTCCTTTAAAATAGAAAAAATAAATGAGCCGATGATCATGATATTCAAAGTGTTAGTGATCAAATAACTGTCTTGAGAGAAAGCTGGTGTGTGAAGTGTAAAATGGGAGTAGCAAGATAATGGCACATTACAGCCCAGAGCGGGCCCAGGGATGGCTGGTGAATGCGACCGCGTGCTTGCTGGTGCTCGCGCCGTCTGCTACCGGGCGGTCATTCTAACCCTGTCAGGACTAGGCGCTGCCACCCCCAAAAGCACTGGCAGACGGAAAGTGGGAAGAGAAGGAGCCGGGTGAGCAGCGTCTTTGCCAGCAGCCCCATCTGGCCCTCTTGGCCTTGGTAAGCCTTCCCCGGGGTGGGGGTGGGAGGGGAACTGAGAAGCCAGCACCAAGGGGCCCTACCTTGGAAGGACACCAAGGAAGTGAGGCGGGAGGGAAGAGGGGAATGAGAGTGGCATTTTTCCCTTCTGGAATGAAATATCCCAATTCTGGGAAAGACTTCTGTTTTCTTTCTACCCGATCAATCCTCCTCCACGATTAGAGATGGGAACCCATTTCCTAGCTGCTCTTCTTCCTTCCCTGCCAAACCTCTCCCCAAAATTTAACATTAACGCCCCCCAAAATGAATTATCTTTTTTGTGTGTGTGTGGGGGGGTCCTATCATCTCTTTGATATAAATAGGCATGTGCCTGAGTGTTCTTTGCTGTCTTGCACCTCACGTGGGACAGTCACACAGTATGATGCACACAAGCACATGCACACCTGCACACCCAGTCCCTCCAGATCCTTTGTGAGGCCCTGGCTCAGCTGCTGTGCAGGGCCTGTGGGGTATAGGCCTCAGAATAGAAAAGTTTACGTTACTGGTTTTTTTCTCCAAAAAGCAGGAAGAGAAGACAATTAAAAACACTTCTTCTAAGGCTGATACTAAATACTTTGTTCTGTATCGAATGAGCAAGTCCCTTTCCCGCCATGGGACAGGGAGACTCGAGATGACCTTGGAGGTGGTAAGAGCTCCCAGTGCATACTTTCTAGAAATTAGAGAGGTTAAAAAGAATATGGCAGGATAATCCTAGTCTTCAAGAAATTGCGGTTTAAATTGGGGTGAGGGAGGTCAAGGGCCTCAAAAAAATCGAATTGATTTTGACCAAATGGAGAAATTTTTAAATGTTAAAGTACCCTGGCGCATGACATTATGGTATTTTGTCAAGTATTTTGGGTTAGCATGCACCACGGGACATAGTAAGTGCTCAGTAAATGTTCTGCTGGTGAGTAAAGCATTTCCATCTACCAGTGTCTCATGTGGCTCAAAACTGAACTCATCTTATTTAAGTATACCATTTCTTCAAGTGCTCTGTTTCCCAAAATAGTCAGTGGAGAAATGTAGGGACAATGGTCTTCAGGAGATGTGGTCATTCTCACGGTCAAATTAGTCTAGGTAAAGTTGGTTCATGACTTTCAGATTTTGTTGGGTAAGTTGTTTTTGTTTTTGTTTTTGTTTTTTTTTAAATAATTTCTTTGTGGGGAGCAAAAGAAGAGGGAAAAAAGGGAATCTCAAACCGGTATTCCACTGAGCATGCAGCTTGACACAGGGCTCTACAGAGGGCTCAAGGCAGGGCTCAACACGAGGTTCCATCCCACAACTCTGAGTTCATAACTGCAGCCAAAATCAAGAGTCAGATGCTTAACTGACTGAGCCATTAAGGTGCCCCTGTTTGGTTAGTGTTTTTTTTTAATGTCTTGTTGGTAATGGTCTGTCAGTAGGTGGGAGAGAGAGGCATAAGGAAGGAAGATACCTGCTTAGATCCTGGGCTCTTTTCATTTATTTGAGAGAGACAGTGCACAAGCAGGGTGAGGGGCAGAGGGAGAGAGAGACAAGCAGACTGAGCCAGGGCCCTGGTGGGGCTCAATCCCAGGATCCTGGGATCATGACCTGACCTAAAATCGGACACTTAACCCATTGAGCCACTCAGGTGCCCCTGGATCCTGTGCTCTTAAATGAAGCTAACCTATACACAACAAAAATCCAGTATCAAACCCCAAGCAATGGTCCCCAGTTACTGTCTTGGATCCTTTATTTTACTTTTCCTTTTTGCTTACCCGTTTTGGACTTGATGAGTAATTTTGGCTTTCCCACTTTTCATCTTTGGCGCTC